TACGCATTAAGGCATCGCTGTAGTCTCCCATCGTGGCTGGAGATTAAGCTGCTACGTCCTAGGGTTTGTCAGAGGGTCTATACTTGTTAATCGATGCGAGAATGGAATAATCAGACGGTGAAATACAATCGATAGGGCGGTCGGAATATCGGATCTAAAACACGATTGTTCTGTGCCTAGAGCCGACGACACATAAAAGCGGCAACATCAGCCTCGAGAGACGAAAGGGATTTTTCCATGGGCTTATATAGACGCATATGGGGTCGAGTCAGGGAAACATCACGAGTTGAGTCGCTAGTTTCGTGACTCGTTCTGAGTCGCTCACGCGTTTGAAGTTTTTCTTTTCTGTGTTTTTTCCTTTTATCAAATTCTTTTGGGTGAAAAAAGATTTATCAAATTCCCAAAATCAAATTTTACTTTATAATTTTGTTCTTGTGCTCATCGAAAGAGAAGTGTTGAGAAAAGGAGAATAATTTGTACGCTGTAAGTAAGGTTCGCCATAAGCTTGTTGACTAAAAAATTTGTAAATAATTTGTTCCAGAAAATAGATATTTGATTTTGCACCGACTTATGGGAGCTAATCGAGGGGCAGGTTTTACTATCTAATGAGTACATGAAGTCGAAATTTCGTGGGCCGGTTTACACGATATATATATATATATATTTCTTTTTTGTCGAGTGGGAGGTATCCTGACATAGTCAGAATCACCTAAGCGGGTTAGATTACTTCTCTTCTAGGCTGTGAGAGCCCGCGTCAAGAATTACAGTACGTAGCTTTCAGGAGTCGAACCTGAAACATGCAGGAGACTACGAAAACCATCTGAGTTGCCCGCGCGGAGGGAGGAAGAGGGGGGTTACACGGCTTACAATAATGAAAATGTACATATTTTTTAGGACTGCATAATATTCTTAGTTCTGAGATCCTGTTTTACCGACATTTGTTTCATCATATCGTATTTGTAATTGTCTGTCGCTGATTGTCAAAATTTTGATAGTATAAATTTTGGATTAATCTTGTATATACTATAACGCAATATTATGCTGTTAAATTTGGTAGTATATGGTATCAACTTAACAATATGTTGTTAAATTTGAATCGTAGCATTCATCTAATTATAATGGTATACATAATGATAGTGTATATAAGATTTATTCATTTTTTTTTTGTCAAGTAAAGGAGAAATAACTTTTTATGTACTAACAATGCAGTGAATTTTTTATATTAGCAATTATGGATATATTTCACATGTATATGATTTATATTTCATATTGAATTCAGGTTACGTGCCAATGATCTAAAAATAATAGTTTAAAAAAAATGTACACTATACTTTATAAAGGGAACCGTTTTTCATAATATATTTCTTCCTTGCAAATGCATGTTGATAGCTTAGTGAAAAAAAAAAATCGGCTTAATATTTACTACCACCAGCCATGCATCCACCCCTGATTCTTGAACTAAAATTGCAAGCCTTTAAAAGTCTGTCTCTAGCATAACGCGAAAAGAAGGGTAAAATAAATAAAGAACGAACCGTCCAGAGCTCGTGTACTTTGGATGTTGATACAAGCAATGTGAGACAATTTGATAGCCATGAGCCACAAAGAGTAAAACTATTTGTTGCGCAAAATGCGCAACGGATCTTCTGTATCACATCTTGTCTCACATCCTTTCTCACTCCTTAAAATCTCGCCAAATATTCCTTAATAAACCAAACCCTCAAACAACTCAACTCAGACCATATTAAGTTAATTAATCGATTAACCGGACAAAGAAATTTAATCTCTTTAACCAATATAACCAAAATCAAGAAAAATAAAAACTCTTTAACCAAAATCACAATTTTTCAACGGAAAAAACCCTAAAATATTAAAAAACCTCTGTCCGAGTTCATCATCTTCACCATTCAGCTTTGACGAAATATTCACGGATAAAACTTCGAAGCTCTTCCCAAAGGTCCTCTGTCCTCTTCATCATCTCTTCCCATGAGAAATAACTTTTTTACGAGGATGAGATAAAGCTTCGAAACTCTTCCCAAAGGTGAGAAACAAATATTTAGTTTTACTGTAAATTTGTACTGGGTAATGGGTACTTCCGCTTCCGAAGTTTTGTTTGAGCATGCGATTTAATTTTGCTACCTCCAGAATTTGAACGGTTCCGGTAATCTTTGCAACTTTTTTTTAAAAAAATAATTTGCTTTCAGGGCATTTTCTTTCTAGCTACGCAGGCCAATTTGATGTAATTTGCTAAGCTTAGGCACTTAATCTAGTTTTCAACTTCAAATCGGTGTAGATACACACCGTTGAATTAGTTTTGCTATATCCTCAACTGCATGTGTGTAGTAGTAAGAAATTGGTTATATTCTCTAGTGTCTCTGTTTTAGTGTTTTGGAACTTAGGTGTAGATGATGAAACTAGAGGGTAACAAGTTTGCCTTTATCTTTTGCTGATTAAGGGAATTTTTCTTCTAATTTGCAGCTTCCACTCCAAATGTTTCATCTGTTAAATTTTCTGAAAATTCGGTATGTACTGGACGAAGCTCACCAGCTGTTCGATCAAATGCCTAAGAGGAAGATGAATCAAACTATAAGGTAAAAGTCTGACTTGGTTGAGCCCATATTTATTAGGAGGGTGTTTTGCGTTTTATACGTTTGATTTTGTTTATTAGGACTACCTGTAGGCTTGTAATTAGTAGTTAGAAAATATGTTAAAGTTTGCATGATGGTTACTTTTTTGTGCTGGCACATGCGATCCTTGTTTCCCTTCTACTCTTTCGTGTCGCAATTTTATTTGATGCATTTGATAATTAGTCCATGAGTTGAAATTTTTATCAAATGCTGATTCATAATCTTAGATTAGTCGTAGTATTATTGATCAACAATGAATGGATGGTCTTTGATTCATAATCTTGATTAGTCGTAGTAGTATTATTGGTCAACCTGATGGTTTCATTTGGGAAATCTATCTCTGTCTTTGGCAGATGAGATCATCTAAAACCTGATAAGGCCTAAAGGTAAGTGCTTCTAAAAAAAAAGCTCTTTTTTTTATTCCGTAACTATGAATTAAAGCCAAGAAACATGTGTGATCACTGTTTTCTAAAATGGTTTTCTGGTTTTGGTCTATATGGATAGAGGTGCCATCTTGACATGCATTAGTGTGACTAGTTACAGGGTTTATGTATTCATTCACTTCATTGTTGCTGTCTACAAAGTTCAATGTTTATGAAATTTATGTAACTTAGATAATTGTAATCTCTTATTTGCAGAATGTTATGCATAATGAAGCTTCAATCATGTAAAGCTTGTAACTTTTTCCCTAATACTGCAGGGGTATCTGATATGATGATAGGTTTTTGCAGTCAACTGGAACTGATTCGTGTTACTGCATCTGAGACTATGGAAGCCTATATCATTCTGTGCAACCTTGATGATGGACACGAAGAGCAGGAGAGGAAAAGGTTCTTGCTTGGAGGAGGAGGAGGAGTGGGGTAAGGCAGAGCCATCAACTCTCAAGAATTCGCCGGAGAACAAACTAAGGGAGGCTCTCGAGGAGGCTTCTGAAGATGGGTCACTTCGTAAAAACACATGAAATTCACTCTGAGTCTTTGAATCAAGATGGCTGCTTGGGAAGGTCAATAACTCTTGCAAGGCTTAATGCCCAGAAGGAATTCTTGAGGGCAACTACTCTTTTGTCTGAAAGGACATTTTGCATTGAAGAATCCATTCATGGCTTTAATGAAGCCTTCTTGTTGGTTCTTGACTTTGTACCCAAAGTTCCAATGTTGAGAAACAATTGACCATTTGAGAATTGACTTTGTACGGGTTGCTTTCTTGTTTTCAAACGCTACAGTATTGGGATTCATCTATATTTAGCTTAAAGGAAATTACTGCAAATTTGAGCAATCATGTACTTCATTGGGGTGCAGAGGAAGGTACTGTGGAGCATGATATTAAAACCAAAATTATGGATTACTTGAACATTCTTGAGAATAAGTTTGTACTTGTTTTTACTATTAGTAGAGGATCTGCATTTAAATTGTTGTTGAATCTTATCCTTCCCATTCGAACAAGAGGCTGTTGAATATGTTTGACCATGAGAGCCAGTCTGTGAGTTGGATGGCTCAATGTGCTAAAGAGAAGGGTGCAAAGGTGTACAAGGCCTGGTTTATGGACATATTTCGGGAATTTCAGCATTGTTATATGGATTATATATACAATTTGGTGTCAACAGTCAAATACGAGATTGGTCCCGAGTTGTTTAGAATCAGAGAACAAGTTTTCGGAGTACCTTGGTAAGGTTATAAGCTTTAGTTGTTTGACTTGTGAGTCTAAGGATCAATCTTAAGACAAGCCTCTCTCCTGCAGAATAAAGTCTGATGCAAAATCTTACTGACATTGAAAAAATAGCGTGGTAGCTCAAACATTAAAGAAGAAGAAAAAAAAAAGGAACGAAAATGCAGCTTTATTTTGCTGGTTTTCTCTAATTTCTGTCTACTCAAGTTACAAAATTAATCTAAAAGCCAAACAAAAATCTGGGTTTTCTTATTGTATGGTTAAACAAATGCAAAGCTGAGGAACATTCAAAAGACGATTTCTTGTATGCATCAAGAATCCAGGGCAGCTCAACTAATACTCCCTCCGTCCCAATATTAGAGACGTTTATAGGGAATGCAACCTTTTATGTACAGTGGTATCATTATTGACAGCCAAGCCTTTGTTCCAAATTTGCCCCGTCGCAAGTACAATGGTCAGCTGCACTTTGTGTTTTTTCATGGAGTAATGATTTCGTGGGTCCCATCTTAACCAAAAGCATCCCTTTGAATGTTAGAGACACGCCCTATTATTGGCCTTATAAAGTGAGAGTTAGTCTCACGTACTCCTCTTGCTTCTCCAAATGGATAATAAATAGCAGGTCCCACCAAATTTATTTGGATTTTCTAGCACATGCACTATGAGGGCAAGGACGGAACGTTAGAAGGAAAATAGTGTAGGGTGACTCTAATTTTGGGACAATGAAAAAGGTGAAACATGACATTAACAATGGGACGGAGGGAGTATATCTCATGTTCTACAATTTAGTCAGAAGAACGTTTATTAACAGATATTTGAACAAAAATATCAAAATCAATAAGTATAAGCACAAAGTATTATTCCACTTAAAGGTCTAATTAATCCATGAGCGCAATCCCACAGTCTTGTCCTCCATTTCTTCATAAGCATCTTCATTCAATTTTCCCATTTTCAACAACTTGTTGATCAGAATCATCATTATTTTCAAGTTCTTGCGCCTACAAAAACAGACCCAAAGTTAGCAAATATATTGAATTATAATTGTAAATTATCAAACTAATATATATAAGATTAAATAATTAATCAAGGTTTTTCCTTACTTGGACAAAACTTATTGATGCATGCTGTTGTGCTATTGAACTTGAAGACATCAAATCATAGCCTTGGTAGAAGTTAGGGTCCAACGTCTATCAGAAAAATAAGACCAAACTAAAAATCCTAAAAATTTCTCAAACTGGAATAAGACCAATACTATTCATCCATCAATCAACATGCAACTGAAGAACATTACAGCCCTATTTGCATGAATACAAATTCCCTGGAAAAAAGTTGCCATATTTGTTCCTAAACAACGGCTAGGAATAAAAAGAAAAAATGTCACCTTGCAAAGATCCAGAAAAAAAGTGGAGAAGATCTTGAACAAAACCAACATATTCACAACTGCTATGTAAGAATTTGTATTTAGACATCTACTCCTAAGGTTACATAACCTTTGTAATTTTTGAGAATAATGCAGCCACAGGAAAACGGGAAATCAAAAACACAAAAGTAAAAAAAAAATGTCCAGAATTGAGAAAAAATTACTCAACATGTTGAGATATATTGCTTCTTATTACTTCCACAAAATTTATAACAATGTTTGAACCTCAAGTGCAGTATAATGAGAAGAAAGGCATTTAAGATCTGCAAAATATCAATTATAGCCTGTTTTGGTCCATTGTTAAATCATGCTCATTGTTCCATCACTTCACTTCTTCTTGCTTTTTCCCAATGTATGAATTTGGTTACATTTGAATCACCTAGAAGACTTTTTTCAGAAGAAGTGGAAATTTCTGGCTATTGATCAATGGGCTTTCCTTAGTGTTTTCTGCGCTTCATTTTGCAAGGCAGAGTGACTAAATAATCCAACGTTGTCGCTTTCGCGTAACGTGTTTTACTTTTATCAGGTTCAGGATTGAATGCCAGCAGCACATATTTTGCTCCTCAACAAATTAAATTTCCAAAAAAAAAAAAATGTAAACTCGACCATATTTTTTTTTCTCTTTTAAAAGCTTGATCACTTTTTCTCAGAGTTTATAGAGTTTTCAATATTGCACTCCATTTTCCTTTCTAGCAAGATGAAACTAGAAAAAATTGAGAACACAGAGCTGATTGGAGGAAAAGAAAGTTCGAGACGAACCCAAAAAATCTGCTACGGAAAACATTGATTGAAACAAATGAAATATGAAAATGGCAATTTATCCAAATGGCACATATTTAACATTTGAGGGAAAAAAAGGTTAAAATGGTAGACAACATTTGAAGTAGAGGTTTTGCTCTACTAGCAAAAATATGGGCGCAACCAAGTCAGACTTTTACCTTACAGTTTGATTCATCTTCCTCTTAGGCATTTGATCGAACAGGTGGTGTGCTTCGTCCAGCAGATACCGAATTTTCAGACAATTTAACAGATGAAACATTCAGACTGGAAGCTGCAAATTAGAAGAAAAATTCCCTCAATCAGCAAAAGATAAACGCAAACTTGTTACCCTCCCAAAATCATCTACACCTAAGTTCCAAAACACTAAAACAGAGACACTAGAGAATATAACCAATTTCTTACTTCTTCCCTGCAATTGAGGATATAGCAAAACTAATTCAAATGTGTGTATCAACAGACCAATTTGAAGCTGAAAACTAGATCAAGTGCCTAAGCTTAGCAAATCACATCAAATTGGCCTGCGACGAGCTTGGAAGAACCCCACCAAGGTTTTTAAGAAATAACTTGTTTCTCACCTCTGGGAAGAGTTTCGAAGTTTTATCCGTGAATATTTCGTCAAAGCTGAATGGTGAATATGATGAACTCGGACAGAGGTTTTTTAATATTTTAGGGTTTTTTCCGTTGAAAAATTGTGATTTTGGTTAAAGAGTTTTTATTTTTCTTGATTTTGGTTATATTGGTTAAAGAGATTAAATTTCTTTGTCCGGTTAATCGATTAATTAATTTAATATGGTCTGAGTTGAGTTAGTTGAGGATTTGGTTTATTAAGGGACACTTGGCGAGATTTTAAGGAGTGGAACAAGATGTGAGACAGGGTGTGGTACAGAAGATTCGTTGCGCGCAAAATGTTGTTCGCTTCCATACATTGGGGACAGGGGAAGTGACAAAACGAGAATTAAAAGTTCAAAAACCCAAAACCAAGCATTACTTAAGCCTTGGGAAAGGGCGGCTATTGCCCCTGAGCCAACCCACCCAAACTCATATACTAAAAGATTGTAGTAGTACATGTATATTTTATGTGTATATATATATATATATATATGTATTCTAATTAATTGTTTTTATATTTATACATAAATCTGACGCGGTTTTAATTTAGACCGGTATAAGAGCGGCGGTGCGCAGATTTCACTTGATACTAAAACATCTTTAGTTCTGCTTTCTGGAACAAGAACTCGATGAATTCCCTGGTTTGGAGTAAAAATTAAAACTTGTAGTGGACCAAGCAATAGTAATCAGAAAAAAAAAAAGGCAACAGCATTTTTAGGTGGCTTAGCTTCTAGTGTCCAGCAGTTAGGCCGGTCGATGGTTTCGGCTTCTGGTGCTCAGCAGCAGACTCTCTGGAGTCACTGCTTGAAGCAGACGGATTCAGCCCATAGTCACTAGTTGCACCGAATTCGCTGCTGTTATACTCCTGGGTATTCATTATCATCTTCCTGAACCTGTTCATGTCAGCATTGTACATTCTAGTGTCATACGTCTGTGACTCGACCGCGCCTTGTGAACCAAAGCCACCTTTTTGATTTTGCTTTGGACCATTGTTCAAGTCCTCCAGTGACGAATCTCCGTCCAGGGCGTGCACAATCTGTTTTCATATAAGGAATGTATCAGGCCATGAACTGATTAAACATAAACTATAATACTATATACTCTTGCGTCTCATGCTGAAGACAGAAAAGATGAAATCACTCCTGAACAAATTAGAATAATCTACTTCTGTCTTAAGCCAGCCAATCGTATATATAGAGGAGCTTTTCTAGGTTATAGATTACTCGCCCAAAAGGATTAGCCCCCTCGCAATCACTTAGGTTGCGATGAGTCAATTTTATGACGCAAAAGATAATGGACTTAGCTTCAAAAACTTTGTCTACTTGGCTCCTGCAGCTTCACAGTATGTTTTCTTTCTAACACTCTTTCCGGAAGCGATGCCTAGAGATGTACCTGGCTCATTTTTGGGCGTCTTCTAGCAGAATGACGAATACATGCAGCGGCGGCGGCTATCATTCTAGCCATCTCATGGGCGACATAGTTTCCTTCTAAACGTGGATCAACTGTCTCACTATAGTCACCATCTTCAAGTGCCTTAGAAAGTAGTGGTCGAGCCTGTTATATGTGAAAGAGATCAAGTTCGTGAGATCAAGCTAGAGCCCAAAAAAAAAAAAAACGGTAGTAGAACAGGTGTAAAACGGCCTAAGAGACTTGAATTTGCACAAAGAGGATTCAAGGACGGACCCAGTCCACCAAACTATCTTCCATGAATTTATTGGTGGGATCAACAGGTCTCTTCCCAGTTATGAGCTCTAAGAGCATGACCCCGTATGAGAAGACATCTGATTTTTCTGTTAGCTTTCCACTCGATGCATACTCAGGAGCCAGATACCTGCAATCTCAAACAGGAAGTGCCCACGTTAGAAAAGTCATTCAAGCTCCTGTCCAGTTTCGAGATCACACGTTTTCAGAATGAAATGCTAGATACATTTTAACCAACTTCTAACACACTGAGAAATCAGCGCACTCTTGAGAGAACTATCACAAGAAGATGCAACTTACAAATATTTATTCAGAAAAGTTCTAGTAATACGAGCTGACATCTGAAGATTTCATTCAGCTACATGATAATGGTTTATATGCACTTTTCCCTGCTTGGGGGCATTTTTATGACTAACAGACTATGTGTACAAGAAGAGACTCTGTCTCCCAAAATTGAAGAAAGTTATTATCCGAATGTTCAGTTTGACTGACCCGAAAGTCCCCATGACGCGAGTTGAGACATGAGTATAATTATCAGAAGAGAGCTTTGCCAATCCAAAATCTGCCACCTGGGTAAAAGTTACACCATCGGACGTAAGTCATTTTGCAACTATTTGTGAAGATTGTACTTTGTCAAAGGCTTTTAAATTGTTACCATAGCTTCAAACTTGTCGTCGAGTAGAATGTTGGCTGCCTTGATGTCACGGTGGATAATTTTAGGATAGCCTGCACCCATAAGTGAAGCAGTATATACGATTCAGAAGAGGGGAAAGAGAGGGGAAAGAGGAGGAGGAGAGCGGAGAGAAGGTGGAGAAGAATTTCACACAATCTTCGTGGAGATAAGCCAGCCCTTTTGCTGATCCTAATGCAATCCGAAGCCTAACCGCCCAATCCATGACCGGCTGACCCTTTCCTACAACCGAAAATTTTGTTTTAGACACTTTGGAGGAAATTATCAAGTAAACAGAAGTGAAGTGTTGGAAAATCTTGACAATCAACAGGGTATTCGTTGAGTTGGTAAACTGGAAGCAACAAGGTACTTGAGGAAGAAAAAATTTACCGTGAAGATGGAACTCCAAGGTCTTGTTTGTAACAAATTCATAAACCAACATCCTTTGTCCGTCAGCAATACAGTATCCAACAAGTGACACAAGGTGCCGATGATGGACACGGCTAATGATTTCGACCTCAGCCTGAAATTCTCTCTCGCCTTGCCCACTACCTGACTTCAAGCTCTTAACAGCGACCTCCCTTCCATCAGTCAGTACACCTTTGTGTACATACCCAAATCCACCTTGGCCCAGCAAATTAGCTTGAGAAAACCCACCAGTAGCCGCAGCTAGCTCCTCGTACCTGAACTGGCTCTTGTTAAATCCACCTAGACCTGGTGATGGAGGTGGTAAACTTGCAGGATTATGCCCAAAGTTTGAGCTATATTCACTGCTTGCATTTCCGTCGGGTGTTAGAGGTGCAGCAGCCCAGCCACCACCGGGGCCTGCCATCCCACCTGGTGGTGGTGGAACCTTAACAACGTGCTCTGGGTTCGGGTTGTTCCGAAGACTGGAGCCATTATAGTATGCATCTGAACATTCCAGATAACAAATGACTTGGTGAATTTACCCCGAATACATCATAACTACGCAAATTCTCTATTTTGTTAACTTTTTTTTCCCTCAAACAGGCTCAAAATTTATTGCATCTTGTTAGCATCTACTAGAACATAGATTTATCAGGTCCATGTAAATTAACTTCAAATGCTATCTCCATAGGCTTTTAACTCTTGGTCATACTATACATTATTATGACTCAGCAAATCCAAGTAAGAACCGTGTAGTATTGGTTGACAGAAGAGAGGATCCCGTTTGACAGATGTGGAGTACTAATCAAAAGTAATCAAGTACCAGTATATATTAGAAAGTGAGAAAATGAAGTACAAATGTGTGTGGAGACCTGACAGACCTTTCGGGGGACGTCCATGATCCATATAGTATGGCTGTTTCTTCTTTTTCTTGGAACACATAAGCCAAACCAAGAGAAAAGCAACAGCCACAGCTCCTGCCACAACTACTCCAGCAATAATTGGTCCGGAGTCAGAAGATGGTGAGGAGTCACTACCAGAGGAGCCTGAAGAAGGTGGGGAGTTTTGTGCTGCAGGGGCACCGCGAGATGGGTGTGTTGATCTCCCAGGGGCCGCAGGAGCAACTGGATTGGACCCGCTGGGAGGTGATGTAGTGTTCCCTGATGGCGTTCCGCTCCGCTGTGGTGGTGGCGGGGGAGGCGAGGACGAGGGAGAGCCTTGTTTGGGTGGGAGTGGGGGTGGTGATTGTGAAGAGGTTGGAGCAGGGGAGTTTGGTTGTGAAGGTGGTGGAGGAGGTGGAGAAGTGGTGGAGTTCCCAGGAGGCGATGCGTCGGATGCAGGAGGAGGTGGTGGTGGAGATGCTTCTGGAGCGGGTGACGGATTTGGTGGGCTTGAATCCTTGGGAGATTCGCCTCCATCGTTCTTTTCCATTTCAACAGGCGAAAGAGGCGACTGTTCCCTTTCTTCTTGAATTGAATGAGTAGTTCCGGCGAAGATAATCGCGTCTGGAAACGCTAATCAGCCGGAAAGTACTCAATCTTTTCCCCTAACTGCTGGCCACAACAAACCTAATGCACCTGAAATACAGTAACAACAGCAGATCATTCACCTACATTTTCATCATCAGATTTAACCAAACACAAGTCCAAGCGCTACAGCCGTCGATGATCAATGATGATTCATTTCTACAAAATTACGCGCACGTCAATTTCTGACATGCAAAATTTACATAATCCATTATATTATATTTCATGAAAAAAAAATTGTGGAGACTTTTTGCATACGTTATCTCACAATGTAGCATCCATCATACGATGCATCATTAGTTTGTTGCATTCTCATTTGCAAAATGATGAAATTGATCATTCTGCGTACTAGTAACTATCTGATTGAGATGCATTTGACGTTTGTGTAAATAAATGTTGTTGATGGTAAATTCTTCCTAATGCAGGGAAAATAGCTGACCTGAAGCCCACGCTTGGAACTGGAAGGAATCTCAAAGAAAAGAGAGAGAAAAGCTATTGAAGTTGCATATTAGCCATCTTACTAGGTTAGGGAGGGAAACGCACGCTCGCAAGCTTCCTCAGCAGTCCCACCTTTGGCTCCTACAAACGGGGTACAATGGCTTTCCTCTCCATTTTTCTCTCTTCGTCTCTCTTCATACCTTCTCCTCCTTTGGACACATCTAGTCCCTCCGTCTCTCTTCAAATCTTTCTCCTAGGCACCTGTAATTTCGGACACCGAGTCCGTTATTTCTCCAGCCTCACTTGTCTATTCTTTGGATCACATAGGAATTGTAGTCATGGACATTTTGGTATTTTTCCCCACCATAGCCAAATAATATCTAGATTTTCGTTATTTTCCATTGGAGCACCAAAAGTCATTTTTCTAAAATTTTCTCGTTTTCCTCTAGAATATCCTTATTCTTATACTATATATAGGAATGAGTTGCGGTCAAATGGGAGTTTGAATTTCGATCGTATTGATAGGAATTTTTTGGGAATGTGAAATATTGTGTAGTTTTTTTAAAAAAGTTTGTTACAACTGAAGGCAACATGTGTTTATGTATATTTATCGAATTGCCCTCATTTTGGTACATTTAAACTTTGATTTATGAAGACATCCGAATATTTCTGTAATATAAAATTATTTTACAACCGTTTTTGCATCGAGTATAACTCATATAAACTTATGTGTTGGTATAATTACTGAAATGGTGTTATAGTTACATTTAATTGAAATGTGAAATTTGTTGTGCAATTAATACAAGAACATATTAACACGTTGTGCAATTAACACATTGCTATAACTAGACGTTGGAGGATATTCCTTAACAACTTATGTTTGCTCTCGAACGATTTTCAATTGACATCTGTAGAGGTCTTTTGAGAATGATAAAATTGTAAAAGTATTAATAAAATAAAGTGTACAAGTGTGTGTTGTAATTAAAATGTACCATTATTAACTTTATCATATTTGATGACTATTTATTTTTAGAATGTACTATTATTTATTCAATGAAAAATCCTCTCTAAACACAGGCACCAAACACTTGCACGATGCATGGATACTCCCCCTAGTATTAAAGCATAGTAATAAGATTCCATCTTAATTTGGTCGCACCACATTCTTTAGCAGTGTTAAATAAAATAAAGATTGTGAAAATCCAAAACTCTGATAACGAAAAGAGAAAATGCTAATTTTCTTGATCACGAAAAAGCACATCATCAGATTTTAGTTCCTAAAATCCGTCACGGAACCTGGCGGGAGTGGCAGTCCACTTCATTCCCTGCTAAACCTTGGAACCTGGCAGTCCACTTCTGACTTCACTCCCTGCTGAACTAAAACTTTGTGTTTGGCACATAAACCAGGCGTCAGGCCCAAACTGGTGGAACTTTTGGAGAACTCCTTTACTGGTCGAGGAGAAATTAAGCAGATATCCAGAAATATTCTGCAAAAATATTCTGCTGAATATTTTCTTATGTTTTAAAAGAAGACTTAGCAACTCAAAAGTCTCAAACACGGCAAAGCATATGTTTGCATGAAAGAAGTAGAATAGCAACATTAAACCCCAAAAAAAAAAAAAAGTCTAATCACACGTCTTAGTCTTAGACCACCTAGAGTAGTGAATTTACTCCAGATAGCTATTAGTCTCAATTCCTTGTCACTGCAAGTCTCAAACTTTGAAGCTAAAACTAGAACTTAGAGAGGATGGCAGCATTCAAAAGAGTGATACTTTTAGATGTTGACGATACTGTTCACATAAGGAAGGCACCTACTATGGTTTTTTATTAGGATGCTCAATGCTTTAGTTTCTTGTGTCTTCAAGTTATGTAAATAGATGCTACTCCGACACTGAATCACCAGCATGTCACCACCAGCAAAGATGACCTTCGCATCAGCTACATCTCCACCAAGGAATCTACTTTCAAGAACTACATGTTTCTGTTCCCACATCTTAACATGACTCGTCATTTGCATTGTGTTTGAATGCACATTTGCCAATGCATGCAGATAAAGTTCACGGCCACACCAGGAAACTGAACAAAGCTTTCCGTTCACATTACCCAGAGTTCCTTTAGCACCATAATACCCTTGGATTAGCTGTGACCTATCCTTGATTAGATCAAACGCAAGAACACCGCCTTGTTTCAGATTCCAATAGACGACATTTTTCACATGAATCCCAGATGTTGGAACAAGAGTCTTAGAAGCAAAACAGATTTCCCCTGACGTTTTCCAGGAACCATCCCTCGAGGAATATATCTCAAATTCAATTGCGTCATCAAAATCATTGGATGGAAAGGCACAAATCAGTTTGAAATCGGCATCAAAGTTCAGCAGTGATGGTTCAAAGACGAGCACAATTGCAGGATCAGACCCATGATGAGCATTTGATATTGGAAGTTTCTTCCACTGTTGGGTAACAGGATTGCAGATGTAGTAAACCTTCTCCACAGAGCAAGATTTGCAGCAAAGCAACCCATTGGATGAAGACAGGATCTCAACAGGTTCAGGGATAAACATCAAAAGAGGGTCTGGGACACCACAAGATTTTGCATCAAAAGAGAGGAATGACGGTGGTTCTCCAGGAGTCTGACCAAAAAGACCCAAAATGGAGCGAAAAGAGTGGGACTGATTGTGGGCAAAAAATGGAGATGAAATCTGGAGCTTCCAGTCCCTGCAAACACTCTGGAACCTGAAAAGTGACTTAGCAGGAAGATATTGTAGCGCATGTTCTCTGATGATATCCTTGAGGTCCATGTAGATCTTATGGCTCGTCGCACCAACATACTTACCAGGCCTCTTTCCACGATCCATTTTCTGTTGATCAACTTATTTAGGTTACTCAAACTTAAATCACACATAAAACTTAAGTATAGCTGATCAAAAAGGCTCACACTTGGGTAAACCAGCCATAACACCCCTCGCATGTCATAACTAGGCAAAATAGATTGACTATTACACCACAATATCTCGTTCCCTACATGACTAAGCTTTTTAATTTTCAGTGAAGAATGAATCCATTAATTAAGCCATCGCTCAATCGCGTGCGCTAACACCTTGTTGTGGAATAGGATGTTCTACTAGCAAAACATCAATCACCTTAAAAGATTCATTTAATAAGTGACTCCATAACGACCACAAAAGCAGAGATCTCCTTACAACTTGTTGCAATTTAGGAAACCTTAAGAAAAGAAAATATGCTCAGACCCATTGCTGATTGCTGCAATAAAATTACGATGAAGAAATCATGCAACAATTCCATCACAAGAAAACTTAGTTTCACAGACCATACCACACACAGGTGCAAGCCTCAGCTCAAACTTCTCAGGTCATTAGTCTAGTTGCTGTTAAGCAAGTTGTTCAGAATTCGTCGAAACTAATCAAACAGAAATAAGAAACACTAGAAGGATTGCATGACTCTGGAAATTCAGAACAGATTTGCATAAGTTCTCATAGCCTCATGTTATTCTTTCCTTTACTTTTCTCAGCGAATCAAAATCAATCAAAGACAAAAGTTTAAACTCATGTTATAGTTTAAACTCAACGCCCCTCCCCCCCCCCCCCTCCCCCCCCCCCCCAAAAACAAACAAACCCAAAACAAACACAAAAAATAAATAAAAAAATGGGGAAAAAAGAAAAAAAGCGACAAAGAGCATTCACACCACCATATATCAAAAGCGTATGTTAATCCACCCACCACCACCCCCCCCCCCGGGGCCAGGGCAGGGGTGTTAAAAAAATACCAAAAAAAAAAAAAAAGAGGGTATGTTAATCCGTTTTGACGAAACCCCACAAGTCACAATTCAGTATCGAAACTACAATTTTTGAACAACAAGGTTGAGTGACCATGATTAATCAGGGAGGCGCAATTGCTAAAGAAGTAAATGAAAACTAAGAGTGAAGAGAAGGAAAATGACTTACCCAGAGGAATCTGGTGGGATCCAAGGAGAAGTGAGGAGGAGGTTGATCGAGATTTGGAGTATCGCAATTTGCAGCGTAAGTTGAAAAGTAATAGGAGTTTAAGCTTTAAGGTGGACGAGGGGTTGACTATTTATTTTCGTTTGTTGTTCTGATTTTCCAAAATTTCGTTTCAATATAGTACCCAATAAAGGGAGTCATTGGGGGCAGATTAATGCGAAAAATTTGGGTGCCTTTTTTGGCCTTTCTTTGTTTCTTCTTTTAAATTTTTCCCCCCTTAAAAAGGATTTATCCAAAAATTAATGCATTTATATTGGCCTGAATTTCCCAGAAACTTTCAATTTAGTTGCAGCAAAGAAAATGAAATATAAATGACCAGGATTAGATGTTTAATTGGATCAGGATTCTTAACCAAGTGTAACACATGTTCAGCTGGTTGAAAAGGTGTGGTCATGTCCCTTCGGGGACATCCGGCAAAAAAGGTAAGGTTATGGTCATTCATTAACGGGTATTTCTTGGATCAGGATTCTTAAACAAGCACTCATAAGAGAGCTTTCAATTCTTGGTATTTTGAAGAGGGAGAGAGAGCTAAATCTCTAAAAATATATATATATATATATATATATATATATATATATATATATATATATTGTCGGCACAATAGATTATACACCTACTCTATACTAAGGTGAAGAGGTGGATTCAAGGGAAATTCAAAAGGAACTAAATCGCTACCGAACCAGATGAGTGCTTTTACATCCACTGGTAAATTTTTTCAGAAAATCCTAGAGAAGAATGCAGGGCTGTGGCTCCAACTTAAGTATTTAAGCTCACAACCTATCTTTATGGGTCAATCTAGCTTAATTAAGTTAGATTTCAAACTTGGACTCAAAATAAAATATTTAAGTGCGCAACCTATTTTTCGGAATAATATTTTTGTGATTTTTTATGTTGTGATATGTGTAAAATATAAAAGTAATTAGAAAAAATAGAAAGATGATATATAAAGTGTTTATGATTCAAGCGAATATTTTTTTTTTAAATTTTTTGGCCAAAAAAAGGGCTATTCAAATGAACCAATATCGGCAAACACAGTGGCAATAATACATACATTATTTTTATTCACATTGCAAGCATAAGCATCGGTGGGGAAATATATCGTCTTTACTTGTCAAGGTGCTTTTTAGTTGAAAATTACATGCCGCTAAAATCCTAACATAACCGTATCCGGAAAGCATGCGTTCTTCTTGAGCTCACGAACTCCATGAGAGAAGAAGAATGTCTAAACCGGAGCTTCGATGAAGATGGAAGGTGGCTTCGATGAAGATGGAAGGTGATAAGACATTAATTGCCAATATTTTACAAACAACAGAAAAAAGTTATAAACGAAGAAAAATTAAGAAAGCAGAAAAGATTGTTGAGAAAAACACTCAACCAAAGCACTGATCACTAGGCAGTGGCCCGGGAAGGGAACCCTTCTCGGCGAATTGCAGGCCAAAAACAACTGTAATTGCAAGAAGGGACAAGTACGACAAGCCTTCAACAGCTCCCAGCAACCCAAAAGGCCCGTTTGGAAGCCCCGAGCCCGTTTTGGCTTTGGTATATGCCGACCAAACCACAATCCCCACCACAGCTAGGTAGCTCACGCCTTCCAGGGCGCCTATGGATCCCCCTGGTCCCGGTGGGAGGCCGCAGCCGGTGGTCTTGAGGGTGTACAGTGACCACGCAATTACTGGTGTAGAGATCAATCCCCCAGCAATGGCTGCTTTGTCTATGATTCCGTTCCCGCTTTCGGTTTGCTCCTCTGCCATGGCTTGTACTTTAAGAGGCAGAGAGCACCCATTTGGGCGGCGGGCAGTGGAGCAATTATACCGGTGGTGCCGCAAGTGCGGTGGAGACGTGGAGAACAAGAGCAACATCTTTGAAGCTTGCATGGTTGATGGAAAACAACTATGGAGCCAAGCTAGGGAACTAGTAGGAGGCTATAGTGCGGACTTCCTTTTGTTTGTTGAAGGGTTGCTAGAGTATATGAATCTTATCCATTTGCTTGATTGGAATCGATTGATCCTAAGGTATTAATCTCCCTCAACAAAAAAATAAAATAATAAAAATCCTTACGCATGAATCCTACGCAGTAGAATTAGAACATCAAAGGAACTCCCACTTGCGACCTTTTAACAAGTTAAATTAAGTGCACATTTCAAGTTCAACGCTCCAAATCGGATAAATTTCCAAGCATGGCAAAAATAAATAAATAAAAAGTTACCAAATCACGAAATCTTGGATCCACGTGTGTCTGCATGCACCCCGATTTTAATTTCTTTAGTTTGTAGTTTATCTCAAATATTTTGTGACACAGCTTCCTCACCCAAAAAAAAAAAAAACATTTACAATTACAAGAAGAAGATGCTATACAGCAAAACAACAGCAGCAGCACAAATATTTAAGAACACAGCACATCTAGACTAAAACAATTGACAATTAATTGCAGATTTCTTTCTACAGCGTCTGTCTAGCGCCAGCTAATTGGGACCCACCCACCCCCCAAAAACAAAAAAAAATATATAGTAAATGCAATAGACAGAGAGACAGGTCAACCACGTCCATGCTTGCATGGCGGGCTGGGCCTGTGGGTGGCTGAGCATCTTATCTTCCCAGCGAACTAACTTAAAAAGCCTGGCCCAGAGCAGACAGAAAAGGTCCATCAAGGTACGACTACTCCTGGAATCCGGGGGAGGAGGTGTTCATACTTGCTAACCCGAATGTTCTGACTCCCGCCCCGATTTGATTTTGGCCCGTATTGATAACCAGGGAGGACGGAGAGGCGTTTGAGTGTGGGGTAATCAATCCAGTACTCCGTGGGAGATGTCAGAGATAGAGCTGGGTTGGTCTGTCATCCAAAGGGAATCAGCTGAGCTGTAGAGATAGCAAATGAAAGCAGATCAGTTTCGTGGTACTATTACTTACAGTAGTATTAAGATAATAATGAGAAGGGCGGGGACCGCAGTAGTATAGCCCAAAGAATACCACGTCCACGTACTACTCGTTAAGCAGTATGTGCTTTTTTCTTCTGCGCGCGCTGGCCCCTACCAATCCATTTCATTTGTCCAATTCTGCACCGGAACCCGGTCATCATCATCATTACCCGCCCAATCCCAACCGTTCGATGCTATGGCATGTATCATCATTTTTTTTTCTTTTATAAAATATAATAGAGAGAAATTCCCAGGCGTTTGGTCCAAAAATATGAAGAGGACTACTGACAAGAGCCGCATGACTCCATTGACCCATGAACCTCCTCCCCACCCCCGGCCAACCCCAAGAATCCAAACCCCCGGGGAACTCGGTGCGGACAGCTGCAGCCTGCAGCACAGAAACTTAACGAGCACACAATTATTAGGACCAAGGCGCGGAGGGCTAACCGTGAAGCGTTTTATTCCGTACGGTCCGACCCCGCGTCAAGAAGATGCACCCGCACCAGCACCAGCACCAGCACCACCATGGATGAACCACTGACGCCGACCGAAGGCATAATACAACATCATGATATTGATATGATGCTGCCATCTGGCTATTCCGAAATACAACAACAACAAGCACACCACCACCGGCCTAGGAGTACGACTGACTGATTAGCGCAGCTGATGATGATGCACGTGATTAAAACCCCCCAAAAAAAATCGTTCTTCGCTTCCCAATTTGACTGCCTACATCCCCCCACATTCGCAAAACCCACCATCAACAAAGTTTAAATTACAGCCCCCAGTTTAATATTCCACCCTCCAACCCCCATCCCCACCCCATAAAAAACCCACAGGGTACCTTTTTAAAAAAAAATTAAAGAAATTGAAGCACTTCAATTTATATATATACTAGTAGCAGTAGCATATTAACAAAGGGGAAACTTAACTTCAAATCTGGCATTCATTTCTTCACTTTCCCTCCAAATTCACAAGTTCCCCAGCCCCCCCTCCACCCCCCAACTTCTTCACAACCCAACCTCTAAAAGCTAAAGACTAAAAACAAAACCAAAAAAAAAAAAAATATTCCCAAACTGAGTTTATAAACGGGTTCAACTCGCTCATAACTTCCATTTGAATTTTACTATCAGGCAGGCAACGGCTAGCTATCTCAAAGAAGCAAAGCGGAGGGAACGATCTACTAACGACCTTTTGAACATAATATACCATCACACAATTTTCCCTCCAAAAGATTTGTCTCAAGGAACATAACCCAACAGTTTAAAACTACCAGTCTGCAAAACCATTCTAACTTCCAACTTCCCACCCATTCCTGCTAAAACCAACCATAATATACCACTCTCTCTCACTCCACCACCATTACTAACGGTGCTTTGATGACTTGCTATACTCCACCACGTCATCATCATCCTCATCACCACCTCCATCGTCATTATCATCATCTCTCTTCCTCTTATGAGAAGTTGTTGATGGAGGCATCTCTTGGACCTCACCGTCTTCATCATCCTCCTCGTCTTCAACCTCTTCCTCCAGCTCGGGATCCTCATCTTCGTTTATTGGCTCCAAATCACCGGCTCCACCATCAACTTCAACCTGTCCAACTGGTTGAACCAGATAACCGGCTCCATAGTCTTCTTCCTGCAAAATTAAACCCATAAATTTACAAATTACCAAGCATAATCACAATTTTCATGTCAAATGTAAACAAAACCATTTTTTTTCCAGGCACATAAAATTGGAATGGGAAAAAATTGCACAGCACGTACTAACTACAACCCTGTGATTCCAACTCAAAGCATTCCAAATCTGAAACAACTGACATCACAAACCAACCTAGCCAGACCACTCGAAGCTCAACACCAACCCTAAAAACAACGGATGACACCAAAAAAAAAACCTCTTCATATTCACAGTTCACACCATACTATCAAAGAAGTGTAAGAAGATTACTCTCCGGCAATTGGTTCAGAAAATATTTTTACAACATCCAGTGAAATAAGCATCACTGAAAGAGTTAATTAAAGCTGAATAAGAACAAAAAATTAATAACATCGTTCACAATAATTAGCCTAGCACTTTTTGTGATGTGATGTATGTAAAATAAAAAAGTTGTTGGGAACATATAAATGCACGTTGAAAATGTATTTGTGATGTAAGCAAATAATTTTTAAGCCAAATAATTGCTATCCAAACACACCCATAGTGTTCCTTATGCAGCAGGGAGATTCTGCCCCAAAATTAGGAGGGAGGGGGGTGGGCAAAAACCAGACTTGAGCATGCACCATGACACAAGTAAACTGTACAAATTCCCCAGATGTAACACATTCAGCAGCAGATTTTCAGGAGATGCAAGAAACTTTGCAGGTTAAAATGACCGATTAATTGATACAATAAAAACATGAATTTACATGTTAATCGAATCTTGTAAACTTTGACCAAGTACACTAGAAGGAACACTCAATATCAGATAACACCGAATCCATACTAGCAAGTACCTCGACATATTCAAACAACAGTTCCTTTCATTTTATCTTCAAAAAAAGCACTAATCTCCACAACAAAATGAAGCCCTTAGCATGGAAAAAAAGTTACAACCAAGTGTTGTTTACAATTTTCTGCATGTCAATACAAGACACCAATATCAGCAAATATTTCCTTGGTATATCACACATCTAGCCAGCCAATTTATCATATGCAACGCACTGATAAACACCAAATTCAATCCATCAAGCACCTAACCATCAAATACACTATGACTAGGTATTGTCCCAATTTTCTACAGGTTAATACTAAGAAACCGTTATTCATCAGATTGGTCATGCAAAGTGGTATACTCGCATGCCTAATATCAACTCTTTCTAAACCTTATTAAATAACAGGCAAAGTGAAGCAAAAAGGCTATGCTGACCCGTTAGCAAAAACATAGCAAAAAAGTTAAACACAACTACACACCAACCTATTTCAGGAGAGCATGCAGATTAGCTAGGATACACAGAACCAACTATCCGGAAAACACAATTGAATTAAATACCCAGAAACAACCACAATTCTCCATAACGCTAAACATTAATTTGCTCAGAACACAGATTAATGCGCATGCGACACACCAAATAAGATTACCCAATAACCACAAGTAACCACGGATCAAATCTGCACTTAAAAACTTGTGACGAAATGGAGCAAAAATAAATTATACCTCATCTTCAGCATCTTCTTCATCATCATATTCTCCTCCCTCCTCAATACCCTCTTCATCCTCACCTGTCTCTCCATTATCATCTTCGTCCACATCATCTTCCCCCTGCTCGTGCCCATCTATTTCTCCTTCTGTGCTTGTCAACCTCCCAGTACTCTCTGGCTCACCAAAATCGCCCTCATCATTATCCACCTCTTCCTCGTCCTCCTCTTCATCATCGTCCTCATCATCATCATCATCGTCCACCCCATCTTCCTCGTCATCACTATCCTCAATCTCATGAACCTCAACAACATCCTCGTCATCGCCCTCCTCTTCATCAATCTCCTCCACAGAATCGTTGTCCTCCTCGTCCTCCCCCTCTCCATCATCATCCTCATCGTCCTCCCCATCCACCCCCTCAACCCGAAACCCATTTGCCTGATGGTGAAAAGCTCGGCTGACCCCATTAGCCCCTCTGGAAGTCTCCGTCTCCTCCTCATCGGCATCACTCTCCTCATCCTCATCCACATCAACAATCCCTTCACTCCCACCTGTATGCCCGTTATTCAAACTAAACGGCCTATCCTCGCCATCGACTTCTCCACTTCCAGGATCATCCTCGTCGTCCTCTTCATCCTCCTCCTCATCATCCGACTCAGGTCTCTCATTTTCCTCCGCATCCATCTTATCCAAATACTTCAACGACTTAATCAACCCGAAAACTTGAGATCGGTAATCCTTAACCCTGGTCACAGGACACTCATAAAGATCCAAGGAAACAAGGCGGAGCTCCGCTAGAGGCCTGAGATCATTGATATCCTGAATCCGGTTATTAGATAAATCCAGATCCCTAAGCGAGTCTAGACCAGCTTCGACGAGAAACTCGAGGCCCCCGGCGATACGATTGTCGGAGAGGATTAATTTCTGGAGATTCTGAAGCCTAGGGAACTGTTCTAGAGAGGAAACGCCGATGTTGGCAATGGAAAGGTGCTGAAGGCTATGAAACTTCTCGAACAGGGACGGAGGAGGTAAACGGCCGTGAACACACTTGACGGCTCCGTCGAGGGTTAACGTTCGGACAGAAGCGACGTCGGTTTGGCCGTCTAACGCTGTTTCCACCGCTCTCTCCCAGATCTCATCCATTAAATAAACTCCCCAATTCCCTGTACATATGATTCGATAATATATTGGAAAAAAGGCAGACCCCAAGATTGAGAAAGATTTGTTGTGGAGAAAAAGAGTAAAACCCTAATTATGGAGGTGCACTTTGCAAAGGGGCAAAAAATTATGGAGGCTTCCTGCTGCTATGAGGCGCTTTAGATGATAGAGGGAAGGTGAGTCGAAGTCCGAGTCAGGGGAGGGGACTAGGGTTGGGTTAAGCTGACTCTGAGGTTATCGGTGATGAGTCACTAGGTGGATTGTGGCCGTTGGAATTGTGAGTTTAGGATCGATGACGTGGAGGAAAATGGACGGTGGAGATCAATGGAGAGTGTGTTTGTTTTCGAGAAGGACGTGGATAGAGTGTTTTATTGTGGGAAATTGGGACTCGGGGCGGGGGAGGAGAGGGAGCTGGCAAAGTCTGACACGCAATATGCAGTATTGAAATATCGGAAGGTTTGAGATATGCCCTTAAGATTCCCTTTTATTACGCAACTGCCACAGTAATAAACATCCATGAGGACTGCGCGCACAGCCAAGGCAGTGTTATCGAAGGCGTGATTTCTCCAAATGCCCCAAAAAGGCCGCCTTATGTTAATGAGTTCCACCGTCTTAGGCCCCTCAGCTATGGGCATAGAGCGATGCTCGCATCAGCGCACCACTTTCTTACGACTTTAGCCAATATTTGCACCTATGCCTTGTTTTTCTCCCCCCTTTTATTGCAAAGCAACTTTCATATATATGCTCCAGTTCCTTGTTAATTAAAAAAATTTAAATGGTCCTTCTTATCTCGCTTCATGGTTCATATTCAATTTTCTTTTATGAAAATTCAAGCTTGATGAACCTTTAGATTTGAAACTTGAACTCGACTTTATAAAATGTAGTTCTCAAAATCGAGCTCAAGCTTGGCTCAAAAAGTAAGTTGAGATCAAGCTTGAAAATGAGCTATTCGATTTTGAGTGGTAAAAGATGTAATTTGATCTAAAAATATGAATTTTTGGATAATTTTATAATTATGAAAATTATATATATATATATATGAGTATGGAAATTGAAAAATTCGACGAGCTTACGATTGAAATTGAAATACCAATACGCGTGAATTTGATTCAGCAATTAGATTTGAATAGGTCGATCTTGATTGAACTATTCGTGAGCTGCTCGAATCATTTGTCAATCCTAAGTTAAAACGAACTCATGAGCCATGATTACAACAAGAATTTCGCACAAAAGTGTTGATTGTTAAAAGTGTGATCTTAGAACTTGTTATATGGTCTCATTTTTTAGTTTTTTTTTTTTAAGGACTTATCTGAATACTATAAATTTAAATGTAATGAGGGAGGGTAATTATAATTGTGAACATTTTTATTGTAGGTCGTGTAGGCAATCTTTAAAAGTTCTTTGGATATTTAAACATCAGAATAACATCGCATTCTTTGAGAAATCAAAGCATGATTGAGTACGGTGGTCGTGAAAATCAAGTTGTGATATAGATTTTTGATGAAATTTTTATGCTGATAGTAATAAGTTACCTGCAATTTAGAGCGTTCTAACTCGACATTTGATCAAGGACTGTAAGTGTGTTCAACTCCACAATTGATCAACGCTTGAGTATTTGGGTCGTTAATTACCTAAACACAAACACTAGATGTTGCTTGCTCTTTTTCTCTTTCTGTAGAAAAAGAATATCACTGGGTATTTAAAGATTAAAAAATCTACTCATTGTATATTTTTTAACCTCATCAAACATCTATCCACATTTTTTTTTCTAATAAAGGGTCTATAAATCCATACTGATAGATGATTATTTAGATCTTTTTTGAATAATATTGTAATATTATTTTGTAATATGCTGTGTGTGAGATTAAAAAAGTAATTAAAAAATAAAATATATTTATAAATCAAGTAATAAAGTTTTTACAAAAATTAGCCCATCCAACGTATTTATATGGGAATTTATTTATAGTATCCACTTCTTATCCGCCACCAAGTTAAGCCCTCGTAGCGCATTCGGATTTCATTAGAACGGCAGCTGCCATTCAAATCCTTTTGTTATGGTACATTTTTAGCTAGCTGTACCTCTCTAATATTCACAAGACTTTTGTCAATCCATGATGGTAAGATTGCTAACACGGACCAAGATCATAACTACTTAACAAATCAGCAAATCAAAGACTCGACTCATAAATGGTGAGATTCGAGTGCAAGATCCCAAACTCATTGTTGTCTTTCAACCTTGGCTATTTCAGTGTTTTATCCCACTGGAAATTTCAATAAACATGCACGTTTTATGAATCTGTAAACTATAGCTCTCATAATCATCAAGGCTATCATTTTTTTGGGTATGAACCTTCACATCGGATCTTATGAATTTTAATTAATCAAACTTGAAACCCATCGGAAAGAACTAAGCTTCAAGGAAACTGAACTTTTTGTTTGCTAAAAAATCAACAATTTGACGAAGTTTAAACTGCTCAATTGTTATCAACAGAAACCATTGAAGCTCAAAGGTCACTCATTTAGGTCAGGGTTCGAACCCAACTACTTTGAAAAAAATTCAAAAAAAGTGTCAGAACACTCATTTAGTCTAATTAAATTCTTATACCTACTAGTTATTTATACACAATTTTCTTAGATTCCCCTCCCCGTAGATTAGGATAGATTAGATTTCTATCATTTTGCCGTAAAAAGAAAAATTGTCATCAACAGTACAGATTTATTGGGATGATAGTTGACAAGCAACTAAAAGCAATTAACAGGAACATCGCCCATATCTAATGCTCTCATTAGAAATATGAACCTAGGATGAATAAGATTTGGATATGACTGTGAAATTGTAAAACAAGAGTTTATCATGTGATATGCTACATTTAAGTAATGACCATTATCCACATTTATTAAGTGACAACCATTCCATGGACTCATAATTGCTTGCATGCTCAATGGATACCGGAGCCACATCAGTATGCATTCTTGCGGCCTTGCATTTAACGTGTATTTTTTTTTTTTTTTGGTCGACACAGGAGTAATTGTTGGAGCCTGCGATCCGATTAATCCCCGGCGGCCGGAAAGGGACCCCACTCCACACTCACTTAATGTGTATGATACTGTTGAATGGGCAAGACGTTTAATGTTTTCATTTTTCAAGAGAAAAAGATGTCATTGTAACCAGAAAACAAGTAGAGAACTTTAGCAATTATAGCCACCTAATTTTGACTATTTAAAGAACAAAGGCTATAAAGATAGGGAAACCTTTTATCTATAAATTAGTCAATGTAGCATTAAAAAAAAAAATAAAGTACTTTAAAGAAGGAGCATGATTCTTAAAGCCTCACAGATACCACATTAATATTCGTGCAGATGGCGTATGATTTAGTTCAATTTCGTTCAAAATTCAACAAAAGCTTTACGCAAGACAATCCTTTTTTTTTTAATTTTATATTTTTGGGGAGAATTATCAAGCATAGTGGTGGAACGTTTGAAATGATTTTGAGCATCTAAACGCTTGTGACTAGGGATGGCAACGGGGCGGGGTTGGGGCGGGGGACCCCTCCCCCGTTCCCCGCCCCGTTGCCTATTAGTTCCCCCCGTCCCCCACCCCGTCCCCCGCCTCTTGCTCCCCCGCCCCGCCCCGCCCCCGTCCCGCTTCCCTTGCGGGTGCCCCCGCGGGGTTAATAAAATTTTATTATATAATTTTATTATAATTAAATTTTAATAAATAATCAAGTACTAAAATATCAACACATCACCAAATTATTATTCATTGTAATTTTACAATTGAAACTCATAAAAACAATCAAACAAAAGTTATTTGAATACAATCCAATATGATGAAATAAATATAACTAAAATAGTCAAGTTTTCACATTTAGTACAAATGCAATCACTAATTCATTATTGTGTTTGTGCTTTTTTTTTTAGAAAAAAGTGTTATTCTATTAAGTGTAATTAGAAATTTAGTATAAATATATTAGTAAATTTAGTATAACTAATTAATAAATTCTATTAGTAGACATGTAGAATTATTCATATAATTGATTATATCAATTATATTACATAAACTAATATACATTATATAGTATATCTAACTAATAATATCATTATCATAAGTTTATAACTAATTAACTTACATGTTATATATAATTATATATATTTTTATATTTTTTTTGTTTTGCGGGGGGCGGGGCGGGGGTATACTCCCCCGCCCCCCGCCCCGTTTCTAAGTGGGGGGAAAAAATTCCCCCCCGCCCCCGCCCCAACCCCCGCCCCGAGAGCCCCCCGCGGGCACCCGCCCCCATTGCCATCCCTACTTGTGACCATGGTAGTCAGACAAGATCGCTAGTCACGAAGAATTACAGCGTCAAGCCATGAGACTGAGAGCCTGTGACTTAGCATGAACGTGATCCTTGTTTGGATTGCTAGCTTCTACAGAAAAATTTTTTAATATATTTTTTAATAATTTTTTATTTCATATATATTACATCGATCGTTACAGTATATTTCTTAATAAAAACTCACAATCTAATAGTATTTTTTTTTTTAACAAAAACTCACAATCTAAAGAGTGATGCGCTTCTAAATGATAGCCAATTATTTGGCCAAATATATTTGCTGACATCACCATTACAATTTCCAATACACCTTTTTATCTCACATACATCACATCACAAAAAGTGCTACAGTAAAAATATTTCAAATAACTTACAGTCCAAACACGGCCATCCAGATAGGAAATTTTATATACCTCAAGTGATGAAATAAACTCTATTCTAACCCAAAATTTTTTTTTAATAAAAAAAGAGAGTTTGGGAGCCAAATGGTGGGCCGTTTTCTCCAATTCATTGGATAAAAACTTGCCGCATTAAAATATATATATATATATATAAAAAACAACATTCTGAAAATATACAGAATTCAGAATCGTTTGTCTTTTCCTTAACCACGAACACACAAAAAGGAGCCATGAAGCATCCATCCCAACAGTGTCCTAAATGACACAAGGAATCCTAAATTGAGCCAAGTAACTATGGAAAACATGCACGTTTTGCAACTGAAGAATACAGGAAAAAACTAAGACCAGATTTCATTCACGTGTCAAAACGTTGGTCCCCCTTTTTATTTTCATTTTGACGTGGGGTCATTTCATCCAAACCATTGGAAGCCATATTACGTGGATGCACAAGCTGCTGACC